CTGGCCGCTCTGCTGCAAAGCTGTCAGATTTGTGAGAGTAAGCCGTTAGCTGCCGGTGATTAAACCGCCCCTAACGTGACACCAGAACCGGACTGCGCTCGGTCCGGGCCGTGCTACGGGTCAGGTTCCGAACCAGAACCGAGCCGGGGCGAGCAGCCCGTTCGTGCTGGGTGCCGTTCATGATCTGGGCTGTCAGCAGGTTGACGCAGAAGTCGCTAAGCTGTGGACCGAGCAGGAGAAAAACACGCAGATAACCGAGTGAACCGGCTAATTGGCAGATAAACACGATTCCTGCCCCACAGCAGCGAGATGGGGCCGTGAACTGGACACCCAGGGCTCCCTAAATAAGAACCCTGACCTGGCCCTGTCACCATTCTTACATAATCAACTGATGCAACCCCTCTGTAACTGAACATTTGAGGGAAAACACACTGAAAGTCCTTCTTCTGTATTTCCACTCCGTTTTCTGCCCTTTCATCCAAACAGAGATCTTCTTGTCTCTGTGGCAGCTGTGCGGTCTCAGAAAAAATGATCAGGTCTGTAACTGAGATAAATCTGACCAGAAGACCACCGACACACCCACTGTTTGATCCCTCATTTAACCAAAACAGAAGTTTGTGGGGTTTTTCTGCAGCTTTCAATGTGACTTTCATCCAATAAATGCATTCATATTAAAATCAAAGTAGGTGTTAAAGTACACAAAATCCCACCTCAGATGAAAACCAACTCAATGTTTTGCATGAACTTTGTATTTATGCGACAAAAATGGAAGCAAAAAGCAGAAGCAGTGAGTTAAAAACACCATGAATGTTTTCTGATGGTTTGGTTTGTGAGCAGCTCTCTGAAGCTGGTTCTGGATCACATCTGGATCCAGAGGAGCCCGTGGTGGGCTCTCAGGTCCAGATGCTGCAGAAGCAGCCCAGACCATCAGGCCTCCCCCGCCGTGCTGCAGCCAAACCCCGTTCAGCCCGTTTTTGCTCCTCTGAGCTGCAGCCTGACAGATGTGCTGCTGGACAGCTGTTTCCTGCAGCTGTGGGCGGCCATGTTGGATCCTGAGGGTCGTCTGGTGCTCAGAGTCCCAGCTTTTCCAGCCTGATAGTCTGATGGACCACACATCTGATCTCATTCCTGATCAGAGGGTCGAAGTTTACAGAATTAATTGAGTTTCTCTGCAAATTTGAGCCAAAACAAGGCAGTTTTTCCGCTTTAAACTGAGTTTCTATGTGAGTTTGAGGTGTTTTTTTCTGCCTTAAACTGAGTTTCTTTGTGAGTTTGAGCCAAAATTATGCTGTTTTTTTGCCTTAAACTGAGTTTCTCTGTGAGTTTGAGCCAAAATGATGCGGTTTTTCTGCCTTAAATAGAATTTCTCTGTGAGTTTGAGCCAAAATGAGGCTGTTTTTGTGCTTTAAACTGAGTTTCTCTGCGAGTTTGAAGCCATTTTTGTGCTTTAGACTGAGTTTATCTGTGAGTTTTCGAACTCAAACTGAGCTGCAGATGCAGCTGTAGCTGGACTGGATTTACTGTTAGCTGCTTTGAGCTTCCTGTCAGCAAACATCCGCTCTGGGTCTCCCTCTCTGCAGAGCGATGGACTCCAGATAGTTGAAATGACCTTTGACCCTTCAGGTCGACGGCGGCTGCTTCCCCTCAGGTCGTTCTGTTGTCTTTCCTCCTCGGCGTTGTGTGAACACACCTGAGAGCTGCAGGCTTCTGTAGAGCTGTTCCTCTGACCTCCTGTGGAAACAGAAAGGGGCGAGGGGGGGCTCTGTTTTTGTGTTTCTGATAACAGATAACACGCTTTTGATTGCTGGTGTTTTTATGATTGTTTTATATCATTTTATTAGTGTTGTTTTTGCTCGTCATATTTGTCTGTGGCTTGTTTTTAAAACAGAATTCAAATCCGAAATACTATTTTCGTTACCAACTCCAGATATACAACAGCATATACATGTATACATGTCTATGCATACACATATATATACAGTATACAATATTTCACACAAAATATCAATAAATATATACATATGTAACAATATGTATATGTATACAGATCTAAGATAAGTGTTAATAATATGAGAAGAATAAATAAATGCCAATAAATTAGTAGGTATTTACAGCTCTATAAAATAAAGTTTATTATTATTATTATTATTATTATAAGATGATGAATCACCCTTTCGTCCGTCACAGGTTGGAAGGACTTGATTTTGACCCTTTTGGGTGGATAATATGGGTGTTTTCGTGGCCTCTGTGCCTGCTCAGAAAGGAGAGCTGAGGGTTGCCCGGCCTGTTTGAGGGAGCTCACCCTAAACTCTGAGTCTGAGGCAGCCACCGCTCAGCCCCTCCTGAGGAAAAGTGCAGGCTTTCTCCTGCTCTGACCGATCCCAATGGCTCCGCTTAATGGCTTTGCTGCTCGTTGCCTGGTCAGAGCCGGCCGGCGCCCTGCGGCGGGTCCTGCAGGAAGCGTGTGCTGCCTAACAGACGAGCAGAGGTGCTCAGACTGGGAGGGGAAGTGGGCGGGTGGCTGCCGGTGGGGCTTCCTGAGCCTGCTGTGACGGGTGGGGCTGGCCTGCTCGCCTCCCACCTGAGCTGATCTGAACCTGTCGGTCTGATTATGTACAGATCTGTGCAGCTTATAAGCAGAACCAGGTACAGCAGAACCTCTACAGAGGATTCTAACTGGTTCCAGGATCGACGTTGTATGTTAAAATCTTGGTGCAAATATTCCCTTCAGAATACACTGTAATTCCTATAATTGGTTCCAAAAACCTACGATAAGTCCTTAATAAATACTGCAGATAATTACACATAGCAATAAAACAAATGACTTATGTAAGAGAGATGTAAAAATAAATAACTGACAAAGAAATAATCAATAAAAAGGTTTTTTATCGGCCTTTTACCTCAGAGGTGAATGGAGGTAGAGGTCCTGAGATACAGGACGTACCCTAACTTACTCTGACTTTACTACCTGAACTTTAAACTAACTTAAGTTATCTATTTTTATTTAACTTTTATATTTTACATATTTTTTTCTATGACTTCGACGTCATATGTCGTATGTTTGAAATATTGTTTGAATATTTGATCAAATTTCACTCCGTATGTTGGAAAATTCGTATTTTAAGGGATTGTCAGCTACAGAGACATGTTTTTATTCTTTCTCTGAAGCGGCCCAGCTGCTTTTTCACACCTGAAGAGCTCACAGAATCCACTCAGCTGCACAGCAGCCCTTCAAAGGCTGAAAGCTGAGAGTACTTCACCTTTTCTGCCTGAAACACGAAGAACGGCGATTATCTGTCAATGAAATAAGCTGCTTGCAGAGTTCAGTCCTCTGAAGTTAAATGTCCTTTAAACAGGCCTGATTCATGTTTGATTATGATTTAAAACCAGTTTTAAATCGGTGCTTGAATTGGTAGAATTTCCCTTTTGTCTGTGTTCTGGATACGTAACTGATCCCAGCTTAGTTGACGGCCTTTCACTTTTAGACTGATGGCTTTTCCATCTTTTAGCCTTACAGCTATTTTTTCCAGCTTTTTGCAGAAGATTATATGATTCTGGTATATCTGATGGAACGGAGCTCATTTAGTGGAAATCAGAGCTGGTTCTGGAGGCAGAAAGTGGGAGTAGTTTCCTCTCTGGTTGTGATCGGAGGCTCACAGCTGGATGGAAAACCTGCTGCTGTCAGAGCAGATCATGATGCTGATCTGAAGCATTTCAGGGCTTTTGAATGGCAGCAAACAGTCCAGCTGTTGTCCTCCAGCTCAGAGTGGCTGTTTTCTAAAGCAGGAAGTCTAAAATGATCCACAGCTCTGAGTTCCAGCTTTTAGTCGACTGGTTTCAGCTCATCAGCACAAAGTTTCCTTCATTTATGGATGCTGGAACAGAGCTCATTTCCAGGAAATGAAGCCTCATTCTGGAGGAGAAGCAGCAGAACTCTGAGTTCTCTGGACTCTGGTTTGATCAGAAGCTCAGATGTTGATGTTTGATCCAGAAAAAGCTCATTAAATGGAGCCCTTTGTGTCCTTTTAGGCAGTTAGATGGAAGATGGAAGAAAAATCTGAAACGGGAGCTTAAAGCTGTAAACTGGAGCTGAACGTCTGTTTTGTGGGTTAAACAATGCTTTAACAGCTTCAGAAGAGACTGAAAACCTTTTTCAGAGTTCAGTGGAGAAGCTTTCTGGCTTTTTTTCTGCAGCTCTGGAATAAAGTTAGAGGACTTTCAGAGACGTGTAGGAGAAAATTACAGCAGATTTTGGAGGAAAAATCCAGAAAACTGGATTTTCTCTGGATTGTAGTTTGATCAGAGGCTCAAATGTTGATAGTTTCTGTCAGTTGAACCGGCAGAGCAGGAGCATCCAGCAGCTTTTCTGCCCTAAACAGGATCAAACCCAGTCAGGACCCAGTCGCACTGGGTCAGATGGTCTCCATCTTAATAAAAACACCAAACAAAACACTTTATTTAGAGTTTTTCTGCTTTATTTTGCGTTTTTCTGCTTTATTTTAGTGTTTTTCTGCAGCTCTGGAATAAAGTTAGAGGACTTTCAGTGACGTTTAGGAAAAAATTAGAGCTGATTTTGTTTCATGTTTTTTACTTTTTTTTGTGTTTTTTTAAACTATATTTGATGTTTTATACTTTATTTGACTGTTTTTCTACTTTGACTGTTTTTCTACTTCATTTTACTGTTTTCAGCCTTATTTTAGTGCGTTTCTACTTTATTTGAGTGTTTTTCTGTTTTATTTAATGTTTCTACTTTTTAAAAGTGTTTTTCTACTGTCTTTTGGTGTTTTTCTATTCAATTTAAGTTTTTTTCTAATTTATTTAGGTATTTTTCTAATTTATTTAGGTATGTTTCTACTTTATTTCGGTGTTTTTCTTTACTGCTTGTCCAGCTGCTTTTCCGCCCCTAAACGGGCAGAAAGGCAGCACGATGGCCCCCCGGCGCACAGGAGCTCTGACTCTGCCGCTGTGTTGCAGGACGGATGGCTCCAGAGTGACATGCCATGGCTCTGACGATCCCCCCGGTGAAGCTCAAGTGGCTGGAGCACCTGAACAGCTCCTGGATCACCGAGGACAGCGAGTCCATCGCCACGCGGGACGGCGTGGCGGCGCTCTACTCCAAGCTGCTGGCCAACAAAGAGGCGGTGCTGCTGCCCCAGCAGGTGCTGTGCCTCAAGGGCCCCCAGCTGCCCGACTTCGAGCGCGAGTCCCTGTCCAGCGATGAGCAGGAGCACTACCTGGACGCGCTGCTGGGCAGCCAGCTGGCGCTGGCCCAGACCGTGTGCTCGGACTCGCCGTTCGCCGCCGCGCTGCGCCGCCGCGTGCTGGTGCTGCAGCGCATCTTCTACGCGCTCTCCAACAAGTACCACGACAAGGGGCGGGCCAAGCAGCCGCCGCACTCCCCGGAGAGCAGCGCCGGCTCGGCCGACCCGCTGGCGGTCAGCGAGCGGCCGCGCTCCAGCACCGACGCCCTCATCGAGATGGGCGTGCGCACGGGCCTCAGCCTGCTGTTCGCCCTGCTGCGCCAGAGCTGGATGCTGCCGCCGGCCTCCGCCGCCGCCGCCGGTGGCGGCGGGGGGGGCGGGGTCAGCCTATGCAACGACGTCATCCGCACCGCCATCGACGTGGTCAGCTCGCTGCCGCCGCTGTCCCTGGCCAACGAGAGCAAGATCCCCGCCATGGGGCTGGACTGCCTGGCCCAGGTCACGGGCTTCCTGAAGGGCGTGACCATGCCCAGCTCGGGCGCCGACACGCTGGGCCGGCGGCTGGCCTGCGAGCTGCTGCTGGGCCTGGCGGCGCAGCGCGGCTCGCTGCGCTACCTGCTGGAGTGGATCGAGATGGCGCTGGCGGCCGCCGCCGCCGTGGTGGGCGGGCTGGAGCAGAGCCAGGAGGGCCTGATGGGCTACGACTGCTTCATGAACATCCTCATGCAGATGAGGCGCTCCCTGGTCAGCAGAGTGTTCCTGTCTTCTTCTCCTACCTCTTCTTCTTCTTCTTCTTGTTCTTCTTCCTCTTCTTCCTCTCCCTCTTCTTCTATTTTCTTGTTCTTGTTCTTCTTCCTCTTCTTCTATTTTTTTCTTCTTCCTCCTTTTCTTCTTCTTCCTCTCGCTGTTTTTTTCCTCCTTTTCTTCTTCCTCTTCCTTCTCCTTCCTCTCCCTCTACCTACTATTCTTCCTCTCCCTCTTTTTCCTCTCCCTCTTCTTCTATTTACTTGTTTTTGTTCGTGTTCTTGTTCTCCTTCCTCTTCTTCTATTTTTTCTTCTTCTATTTCTTCTTCTTCCTCTTCTATTTTTTTTTCTTCGTCGTCCTTTTCTTTTTCTTCCTCTTCCTCTCTCTGTTCTTCTTCCTCTTCCTTCTCGTTCTCCTTCCTCTCCCTCTTCCTACTGTTCTTTCCTTCCCTCTTTTTCTTTTTCTACTTCTTCCTCTCCCTCCTCTTCCTCTTCGTCCTCCTCCACTTTTTTCCAGAGAAATCCCCAGAGCTTAAACAAAGGCAGCTGGAATTTTACCTCTTGGTTCCTCAGACGTTTCTCCTCTCATCTCAAAGGCTTCTTCAGCTCTAAACTTCATAGTGGGGGGCGGTCAGTTAAAAGCAGACAGGGGGGTTATAGTCTGCCCCCCCCCGACCAATCAGAGTCTTTCTCACCTGGAGGTCGTCTGACTATCTGAAAGCTGAGTTTTGCTCTCAGGCTCCAAGCTGTGAATAGGTGATAGGTGAAGCCTCTACGGGGGGATAGGAGCTAATCCCCCCCCCCCACTTTAAAATGGCTTCCTCACCTCCTCTCAAACATCTGTCTCCTCAATCCTGCCTGATGTGCCCCTTCCTGTCCTCAAACATCTTTTCCCCTGAACATCTGGCTCTGAGCAGATGTTATGGGGAACATCATGTTCAGGGGGGAGAGTGGGGGGGGGGGGGGGGGGGGGGGGGGCAGCCTCTGCCTGAAGTGTTTTCTCCCACATGCTGTGAGAGATGAGACGAGGCAGGTTTTCAACTCCCTGGAGCCGGTCCGGCTGCCCCCCTTAGGCTCTGAGGGGTTCTGAGAACTGCTCCCACACATTTCCAGGGATTTCTTTCTCTCTGAAACCTGCTATGTGAAGCATTTCACTGCTTCTGCCTCTGGACTACGGAGGCCTGCAGGGGCCAAATAAATGAAAATTGCTTAATAAGCACCTATTCAATTTAAATTGGAAGGATTAAATTAGGGAAATACGTTTTTTTTTTGTCTTTGAGTTGATCATATTGCACGTATTTCTTTTTTTTAAGAATAACAATGTTTTTAAGAATGTTTTTAAAACTTTACCCCCCCTCTGATGCTGTGTGTGGTCGCACCAGGGCTCGTCGGCAGACCGCAGCCAGTGGCGGGAGCCCACCAGGATGCCGGACGGGCTGTGCTCGCTGTACGAGGCGGCGCTCTGCCTGTTTGAAGAGGTGAGACTGGACCCAGGCGGCTCAGCCCTGAGCCACTGGGCACGGAGCCTCAGGCTGACGCCTCCTCTGCCCGCAGGTGTGCCGCATGGCGTCGGACTACTCGCGCACCTGCGTGAGCCCGGACAGCATCCAGGCCGGCGAGGCGCCGGTGGTGTCGGAGACCTGCGAGGTTTACGTGTGGGGCAGCAACAGCAGCCACCAGCTGGTGGAGGGCACCCAGGAGAAGATCCTGCAGCCCAAGCTGGCCGCCAGCTTCGCCGACGCTCAGACGGTACGACAGGACGTGGAGAAATCCAGGTTCAGCTGCTGCTGCCTCCCAACTAAGGAGGCCTGGAGGGGCCAAAAACATGTGAATGGCTTAATAAGCACCAATGATGTCAGATTAGAGGGATTAAATATGTGAAATAAGTATTTATTGTTTTTTTGTTGTTGAGTTGATCGTATTTTCTTTATTTCTTTTTTTTTTAGAATAAGAATGTTTTTTTGTTTTTTTTAAACTTATTTTTTTTTTCTTTTTATTGTTTTGTATTTTTGCTTTTTTAGTAGTGGGGGGATTATTTTTTATTTATTATTCTTTCTTTTAGTATTTTTGGGAGGTTTCTGGGTGCTTTGGTTTGGTAGCAGGTCTTTAAACTTGCTGGCCTGCAACTGGTCTGAAACTGGTCTGAAACTTTCTGAAAATGGTTTCAAACTGGTTTTAAACTTTCTGAAACTGGTCTTAAACTGGTCTGAAACTGGTTTTAAACTTTCTGAAACTGGTATCAAACTGTTTTTTATAACTTTCTGAAACTTGTCTGAAACTGGTCGGAAACTGGTCTAAAACTTGTCTGAAACTGGTCGGAAACTGGTCTGAAACTTTTCTGAAACTGGTCTAAAATTGGTCTGAAACTTTCTGAAACTGGTCAAAAATTGGTCTGAAACTGGTCCAAAACTTTCTGAAGCTGGTCTCAAACTGGTCTGAAACTTTCTGAAACTGGTTTCAAACTGGTCTGAAACTTTCTGAAACTGGT